TCCAATTCTTAAAATATTTATTTTCAAGTACTCATGAGTCTTAGAGAAATCTTTATTGTAATGTGCAAAACAATTTGGCCAATCAACCAATACTAATGACATATAACATCCCCATTTTCACGGTCAGAAAAGACCTATTTATTTATGTTTATTTAAAAAATCGGATTATCCTTTTTGAAAAGTAGTATTGTGGATTTTTTTTTTCCGAGAAAAACATGATAATAATATTATCAAAGCATTTCCAAAGAAATATATTTTATTAATATTAAAACATTAGGATGTCATCGTCAATACAGAATGTGACATCCCTTAAAATCACGGCCAGAAGATATCGGTTTCATTTATGCTTTTAAAATAATTACAGAGTAAATCCATTGATTAAAAAGAGTTGCGGAATTTGTACCCAAAACATTACATGATAAAATAAGATTTATCAAAGCATTTTTTTAAAAGAAATGTATTTTCATTATATATCAAAACTCGGGATGTCATATTTTGATACAGACACAAAAGCATAAACAATAAAACATAGACCTTCACAGTTATATACAACTACTGGTCTATAAAGAAAAACATCTTCACAAGTTCCCCAACTTATGCTCTCTCGCCACTACCTGTAATACAAAGAAACTGAGTGGGTCGGGCTTGGGGAGCCTGGTGAGAATATACGGTTTTCAACCCACAATAAATAGTTATATTTAATTTCACCAACCAACAATAACCCGATTACCCATTCCCGTTATCCTCACTTTACGTCTCAATGACAACAACTATTACAAGCAACCTAATCTAGGATTTTCATCGGGACGGACATTATTGCAAAAGAGTTTCCTCAACAATAGATCTCCTAAAGGCAACCATGAGGGGGATAGATTACACCGGTGAACACATCATTCATAACACCTACAGGTTATGAACCTGCCAGCGTTCCACTGGACTGTCTAGAAAGAGTCCGTGGTCGTCACTCATACTTCGCTAAATGACTAGATCAACAATAACATTGAGGTCTCTTATCATTTTTATTTCATCACACATCAACTATCTACTCATGTTTTACCCAATATTGTTGTGTGTGTGTGTGTGTGTGTGTATATATATATATATATATATATATATATATATATATATACACACCACTTAAAGCATGTATAATATATTCATTCAATATCCATCCCAAATAACAAATAATATATAAACACATAACACGTATTTTATAGAGAAATAATTTATATCTATGTGTTAGAAGAAAGCAACTATACACTCATTTGATAAGACGATGTCCGGACAACACTACGACTCTTCAAATAATAATCTTCGATGAAACCGGGATATCTTCCAAAAACCGGGCTTCTCGCAGGCAGAGTTTCGAATCGACAACTCTATTTCTCGAGATCTTCGGGGCTTCGGGACTTGCTTCGGGTGTTGGGATGATATCGGAGCTTCGGGGGTATTTCTTGCCAAGTAGAAGAAAGAAAAGGGGGGGAGAAGTGGAAAATTAGCAAAAAGATCGGCAGCCCTCGAGTTCTATTTATAGGGGCTGAACCCCCGAATTACATTAAGCGTACTCAAAGAGTACGCTAGGCGTACTCCGATGTCGACATGTACGCTGGCCGTACGTGTAGCACGCTGGGCGTAATGGGTGGATTAGACCGGAGGAGTCACGACTTCGGATAAGCTTCCAAATTTATAATTTTATTTATTTATTTAAAAACTTCATAAATTCATAACTTCTGCATACTTTATCCGTTTTAGACGTTCTTTATATCCACGCGTAGGTGAGACTATGCTCTATAACTTTTGTTTAAACTCCGTCGGTTAATTTTGGCGGCATTATCAAGCCTCAAGTTTTTCCGGGCCTTGGTGAGTCACGACGTTTGTAAGGCGTGAGTTAAGACGGCAATTTTCTATATAATTAATATTTTTATATGTATTTTCAACTATTATTCATTTTTATACACATATATGAGTTAAAGCGGCATTTTGGTAAAGCTTGGCGGCAAGTGCAAGCCTTAGAGTCGTGGTGCGCCATGGCGGAGCCATGCCAAACTTTTTAGAACTTTGGCATAAACCAAACCATTTCTAATAATAATTTTTGTGAGCCATCATAATAATGATTACGTCTTTGTTAAAGGATATAAGGGTCACTTCAAAAGATTTTCAAAGTGGTAATTTCTTCATCTTGTAATTTTTAAAGTATATACAACTAGTCTAACTAATTTATTACATCAAATCAACAAATAAAAAATACTTATTTATCTATCACATCTTATAAATAAATAAATATCAATCAAACACAAAGGTCCAAATGGCTTGTTTATACACAATAACATATCAAATATTATAACAAACAACTCTTAATTTTTTCTAAGACAACTTTTATATAACCAAAATACATGAAAAATGGTTATATATAAAAATATGCAATTTTAACCAAGAAGTTGTCAAAGAAAACAAATATGGATTTTTATTAAACAAAAGAAATCTATGCTTGTTTTTCAAAAACCAAAGATTATCAAACATAACAAAACATTGTAACATATAAAAAGATGACTCTAATTCCACTGTTGGTTTTGATACGAAATAAAAGTTTGTTTTTTACAAAAACCAGTAACGGAAGACTTTAAAAATAACAAATTTATTTTTAGTTCATAACAAATTGAACCATCATGGATCCATTTATAGAGGTTAGAATGAAATAAAACCAACCATATGGTGTTTTAGAGATAATATTTGAAGCCTTTGAACCCACTTGGTTTTGGGGTGTTGATGAAGATAACAAAAGATCAAAACGTATGATCTTCTCTACAAGTATCCACCATCAAGAGTAAGGCACTTGGAATGCTGGTTCCTTCTTGTATTCTTGAGTGTCTAAAGCCTTTAAGTGCTTAACTCAATTAAGCATTAAAGGGAACAACTCAAGAGGTCTTCTAATCCACCAAACTAACTTCAAAAGAGAGAGAGTGAGAGGAATAGAAAACCCATGGTTTTAGAGAGAAAGAAACGAAGAAGAAGAGCTTCACTCTTACAAAAATGCAAGTTTCATGCATCTCTTATATAGCCCATGAAAAGTAAGGTATAACCATTAAAATAATCTAAAGTAATGGTATCCTTTAGAAGCATGGGAGACAAAAGGTGGAAGGTTGAAAAAACAACCTCCTACACCATCATTATGTGTCTATTAAAAAGTAAGATTCTTTATTTTTTTTATAAACTCAAAGTTTATAAAATATAAACTTTTGTCTTTAGGTAAAAAAAAAAAAAGAATTCAATTAGTCCAATATGTTGTGCATGACTTATTAATTCATACCATATGAAATAATAACTAGTAATATTCTCTTATAATTATTATTTTCACAAAACAATAATTATTCCCTAATTAAAATACAGGAATCGATATTATTTATTAATAATCATATTAATAATAAATATACTAAATGTGCCAAGTTGATAAAGGTATGACCCTATAAGATCATATATTATTAGCAATATCACTCCATAATGATTCTTGGGCATATAATCTACTCGTCCCAAGTATCACGTTCGCAAAAATGGAAATAAGTAATGGCTCTAAACCAACAAATGGTGAACTACCCCATGAAACACCTAGAGAAGACCATTTAATCTTTGCAATAGCAGGTGTTTACATCGCCTCCTCAAGAATATGCAATGGAACAGACCAAAGATCGAAAGTTCGAATAAACTATGCTAGTATAACATTCCTTATTTATTCACTAACCGATAGCGAAATAACTCCAGATGCATTAAAAGCATTATAAATTTTTGAACAACCCTTCGAAAAGTTTTCACATCATCTAGCTGAATTACCTACGAAATTAAAAAAGCAACTTTGTAAACATATCATGAATGCACCAAGACATAATTGTAGTCATTGTAACGAAAATACAGAAGAAATACTATTCATGGAAGTGGTGGGCAAATAAAAACAGACAAGCAAAAATAAAAATGTGAAGTATTCGGTAAAAGGAAGAACATTCAACGAAGTAATCAACAAAGATTCAGTCTTCGAGGCAGTTACGTAAGCAATGATCAAATAAAGCATTAACACTGTAATAATATAATTTTGTCGTTTCTAATAATGTAAGTTGATTGTCATTTGTAATCATGTAAGATATTGGGAAAATAAAGTATTGTCATAGTGTATTGTCTCATAATATAAAATGAGTGTTGGTGGTATAGTGTAGTCATGTAAAATAATTGTTAGGTACTATTTATCGCTTTGTAATCATGGACTCTCCAAAAGTGTCTTCTATCATGTATAAATAAGGGCTTTGCCCGAATGAATAAATCGGAGTTGTGATGTGTAAGACTTGAATACTCTCAAAATCCTCTTTTTTGAAATTTATATTTCTAAACAGCAAATTTCATTCAGCATTCAATATCGTATTCAAAATAACCCATTCAAAATCTAATATTCCGATCAATTTATCCTATCATCATTCATAATTATTATTTATTTCTGTATTTACTTTTATTTTCAACCATAATCCACAATTCTTCTCTTCTTTCATCTGCTTGTGCGTATACATCATCCCTTTCATAAAGTGGAGAGAAGAAGCTTATGTGTATACATCATCCCTTTCATAAAGTGATGGAGAGAAGAAGCTTATGTGGCTACAATCTGCATAATGGGTAGTGTGTATATCCCTTAACCTAATGTGTCTAAACCTTTCATGTCAACCACGTTTTCTATTGAGTTTTTTTGTACAATATAATATTTCCTTTTGTTGGTTTCTTTTAATTTATTAACCCCTTTTCTCAAATTTGTACTCCCTTCATTCCAAAATTATTGTCTATGTTTGACTGTCAATTTTGACCATAAGCAACTTTATTTGTGTTATATAATTTTTGATGAAACTTATAACAATGAAAATACATTTAAAAAAACAATCTATTCATATATCTTGCATAAAAAATTATATAACAAAAATTATATTATTTAAGGTCAAAATTGAACAAAAAAAAGACTTAAAAAATCAAACGTAGACAATAATTTTGGAACGGATGGAGTATGATCTTGTGTAAGAACGCCCAAAATTTAGAGAAGTATAAGGCTGGAAGCCGGTGTAAATTTATAATGTGTAAGAAGGGAGAATGTAAGATATATTTAGAAGTAGAAGTTAACAAAAGACAGCTTATATTTTGTTCTAAAATGTAAAATCCTCTGCTATTGCATGTAACACATCAAGATTCCTCTGAATTTTTTAAGAAAATGCTTCTAAACTCCCCCTACTTTTACCCACACCTTCACCACCACACCACCAAAATGCTGCAATTTTGCCCAAAACCCTTCTTCCTCCTTCAACCCTACCCATTTTTGTTTGAAAAATCAAGTTAGGTTTTTCATCAAATTGGAGCTTTCTCTAACGGGCACAAAAGTTAGGTCTAGTCCTTCTATATGACTTTAACCATCTACTTCATGTACATATACATCGTCTTTTAAGCACCAATAACAGGTTTCCAAATCTTCTCTAGCTTCTTCAAACTTGAAAAAAGGTTTTAAGTGAAAGGGTAAAAATTTGAAAAGAGAAGACTTCCAATGAGGATGTAGGCTACACAGTATCCCCATATCAAGTATCCCCAACCCTTCCCATGAGCTGCCAAAACATACGCCCCAAACCAATACAATGGAGGGCTTGCAGACAAAAACCTTGTTGCAACCTGCAACAAATTATATATTATAAAAATATTATTAATGGACATCTAAAAATCACCATCAATTCCAACAACAACAAAAAAAAAAAAAAAAGATTCAAAATAGGACCTGAACATGCATGACAAAAAACGCTGTAGCCACCATGAACCCCAAGTGTAAGATGAATGGTATGATAATGATGGAAAATTTTCCTAATTTTTCATCATTCTTTAAAAGCACAGTGGGAATGGGAGTGGGAGTGGGAGTGGGACCCTCTTCTTCTTTTGTGCTATGTTTTCTCCTTTTCAGAGTCCGATCTTCTTCTGATTCTATTTAAACACAACTGTTGTTTAGTACACCAGGATTTGCCAAAATGTAAGTTTTAGATTCATACCTTGAATTACTGTTGATGTGTGAGTGTTGTTTTTATCTACTCCATAGCTTTTTGGAGCAACTTGGAAACCAAGTGAAAAGAAGACCTCAGGCTGTAGCTTCACGTAATGGATTATTGAGCAGATTGCAATCGAAAGGATTGGTGATGCAAGAAGGAAATTTGGCAACTGTTTTAGCTGGAAATATTTTAGAAAACCAACCCCCCTAATATAATAAATAAAGAAAAAAAAAACATCAAGATTAATATAAGTATTAACATTCCCGAGATCTTTTATATGCTAATCAGTTAACAATTCTTTGATACAATCAAGAAAAAGAATTTCATACCAATAATGACTTTGAATAAAATTGTACACCAAAGGAATCCTTGCTTTACACCAAGGCCTTAATTTATCCGGATTATTTCCATCACAGAAACTGTAATATCCATATGCTTGAAACCCAACAAATGGAACAAAAACAAATAAGCAACGCAAAATTCCAGATATAAGAACCTTAATTGCCAACTGCACAGACAATATAATAACATAAAAGTCACAGGAAAGAGCAGAAATGTGAAGAAATATAAAAATGTTATTTAGTATGAGCTTACATATGCACTCTTTTGAAGAAATACAGCATCATAAGCTCTATGAATGGTCTGGAAACCGATATAGCCTGCATTAAGCACCCCATTTGATCTTGAAAATCCAGAGAAAGCAAGTGAGAGTAGTGCTAAAAGATTTGCACCAGACATTAAGAAGTAGATTCCTCCAATTGATAATAATGCATATAAACTTTCAGAGTATCTACAAAAGCAAAAAAGTAGTGGTTTAGATCACAATCATGGGTTTGAGAAGTGAATATAAACAGAAAGGCAAAGAAGAGTAATACATGGATGAATAGAATATAGATGCTGGATTGAAGCAAAACAAGATTGATGCTCTCAATGAAGCCTCTGAGTCCTTGAGAACAATAACAGAAAGCCTTTATAAAGAAAACAGTCAGGAAATGTGTAATGACTACAAGAATAGTAACAACTTGGGGTTCTTTTATAAATGAGAGAAATACTTGTGAAAAGAAAAGGTTTGCTTGATCACCTGTAGAGAAACAGTGCAGCAAAAACGAATGAGATGTTGTTAAGTAAATATCCAGACAATGCCAACACAGCCCTATGTCCAACAAGTGGAGTCAATGGCAGAAGAACTGCAAGTTTAGTAATCAAATAGCTTTCAAAAGATATAGAATCAACAAGAAATTCATAAATTTAGTTCATTTGCAACAAGGAATAGGTAATAGAACTAAAAAGAAGCCACTCCAAATGAGCAATTTTCAGATAAATATCCAGTTGACTTTGAATGGTTTCAACATCAAACATTCATGAGCATCATGATTCATATTTTCTCTCTCTTAACAAAAGTTTGTGTACTAATTTATTAAGCTATGAATTAAACTGTTGTATTGTAACCAATACTGATGTGAAGAAATGTCTCTATCTTCTAAACCCTAGCTCTTTCCTGGAATATAGGAGGAAGGGACCTATTGCCTACTACCCAAGAGCATTCAAGATGATCTAATTTTATCGAAATTGCATCCTGTTTTGCAAAAGAGGATTAACGAACACAAAATTTCGTCATTGCAAGACTAAGTAAAAAGTTTTCTTGCGCATAATCTCCTACGTCCTGATGCTTTCACTGGAAGTAAAGTGCTAAGACTGTAAAAAGGATAATTGAAGAGACTAACCTGTTCGAGACAACAACGAAATGCACAAAGGAAGAAGAGGCAAGAAAGCAAATGTTTGTTCATATTCGTAACCGCATTGAGCGATTCTGACGAAGTACACGCTGTCCCATACGATCCCATTTTCAATAGCGGCGGCGATGCGAGGAAATAGGACAAGCTGTTCGTCGCGGTCAGTGGTGGTGGAAGAGAGGCAGCTAGGGTTTATAGAGGCGGAGGTATCGTAAGGGCTGAGTATTGATCTCCAGATTACCATTAGGGTTAGTACACCAAGTCTTGACACGATTGCTGATCGCACAACGATTCTTGTGTGGGAAATTCGAGATGGATCGTTATTCGTTGATGATTTGATTGCCATCTTGATCCACTTTGGTTGCTCAGAGAGTGGAATCGTTGAATTGATATCGTTCTTTTTACATGTTTTTACCTAGCTTCAAAGATCACTGTAACAAAAAAATAAGCAACAAAGCAACAAAATCAAACCCAGATGAAAACGGTTGTAATCAAATACAAATGATAAGCTACAAACACAGTTTGTCATTTTCTATCACAAGTGAGAATTGAACAATTGCAAACAAATGACAACTGAATATTGACGATTCATAAATCACTTCACTTAATGTGATAAGCACAACCAATGAAAGACAGACGATTCAGTATCGGGTTAGTTTTGGCGTGTTATAGGTGATGTGCATTGTGTTGGGTCATTTGTCAACTGATTGAGGATAATCACAAACAATGAAAGACAAATAAACACAAATGTGAAATCATAAAACCAAATTTTCACGGAATCAAACTTTCACCTCCATCACACGGGTTCCAAACAATTGGCAATAGATTGAAGACAGTTTCCAAACAATAAAGATTAAACCACTTCAGTTTTGAAGACGATTTCAACCTTCTGGCGTCGTTCCCACAGTTACTTTGATTTTGATTTTTAGATTTCTAATTCGGGTTCGGACACAGCATTAACTGGGTGGATTTGGGACGGGTTTTGGTATAAAAATCAATCCAATCACCGATCCAATTTCCAACAGTGCCTCTAAATCAAATATTATTGGGTCTGCGCTTATCTCAAGGTAACGGGATCTCGTTTAATATTCAAATTAAGAATAATTTTGATGTAATTTAATATTCAAATTAAGAATAATTTTGATGCAATGAGAATACAAAAACATTAAACTTAGGGGTGTTTGGTTTAGCTTTTGAGAAGCCAAAAGATCTTTTAGAAAAAGATAGAAGCCAAAAGATGTTTGGCAAAACAATTTTAAAACCTACTTTTGGATTTTTGATAGAAGAAAAATCAATTTTTTGGAAAGTCAGGAAAACCTGATTTTTTGCAACTTTTCCAAAAAGATCTTTTACCCTTAAAAATCTAAGCCAAACACCCCCTTAGTGATGCAAGTATAAATTCATATCCAAAATAATTTTGATTATTTACGAAACCATTAAGAGCAGCCGTATTTGTTCCGATACATAATTGGTTATCAGTGGGAAAAAAAACAATAAAGATAGTAGCATTCATAAATCATAATATTATTGTTACTCTAGGTACTAAGATTAAAAAAATGTTAAAACATCAACTACAAATAAACAGGAAGCTATCTCAAAAATTTATCTTTAAATCATTCACAAAAAGAAGATAACTCAACGAAATTAATATATATATATATATATATATATATATATATATATATATATAGTAAATTACACGAATGGTCCCTATGGTTTAAGGTAATTTGCGCGTTTGGTCCCTAACTTATTTTTTTAATTCGGAAGGTTCCTACTGTTTGTTTTTGTTACGCGCTTGGTCCCTATGTTACCTAAAAAGACTATTATGCCCTTGATTTTTTTAATTTGTTTAAATGAACACTCCCCTAATCCCACCCCCTCACCTTACCTCACCTACCTCATTATTTTTTCCTCTTTAAATAATAGTCTTTTTAGATAAGATAGGGACCAAACACGTAACAAAAATAAACAGTAGGGATCAAACGCTTAACAAAAACAAACCATAGGGACCTTCCGAGTTAAAAGAATAAGTTAGGGACCAAACACGCAAATTACCTCAAACCATAGGGACCATTCGTGTAATTTACTCAATATATATATATATATATATATATATATATATATATATATGAACGGTTTCAGGTAACGGGTTTCGGTTTCGGTTTTGATTTCGGGTAATTGGGACGGGTATTTTGTTTACTAACCCCGTAACCAAACCCGCGAAAATTTTCTAAAAGCATACCAAACCCGATCTCGGCCCCGATTAACCGACCCTAAACCCGACCCAAATATGTTGGTTTTCGGTTTTCACCATTGGGTTCGGTTTCTTTTGTCATCCCTACACAACAAATATGCGATGAGCGACGATTTCCCCCTGGTTGCACACCATCTGCAACCATCTGATATGGTTGGGTCGTTAGGAAAGGAAATTGATATATGGACTAGCAAGTGGAGATGGCCAAAAGAGTCTAATATTTAACACCCTGTTGCTGAACTCGGAGAAAGGAAAGTAAAAGAAATTGGTGTGGTGAGTTTCATTAAAGGAACCAAGTGGAAGGAAATGGAAGGATTACGTATCCTCCTAACTTTCCTTCAGATTTGGAAGAATTTAAAAGGAAAGAACAAAATGTTTAACTTTCTTTCCATTTCTCTCGATCTCGAGAGCACAAAAGACAAATTTTCATTCCTTTCTTTTCTCTTCTTTTCTATCCTTACTTTCTTTTCTCTTCTTTTCTTTTCTTTGCTACAACTCGGGAGCAGGGTGTAAAGGTATTATGCCCTAATAGCCATATTTTGGGTATGGTTTCAATATATTCCCAAAACACATACATAAAAATGAAAAGCATTTATGCTTCTATAGACATGGATTCTGTAGAGGTGACCTCCGAGGAATTAGGATACCCTCCGTGAAACGACAATATGATAAACTGAGGGACATATGTGTAAAATTGACGGATCCGCAGAGGCTATAACGAGGGTCGCAGAGGCACCTCTGCGGAACCTTCGTAATTCAAGCAACGTGTTCTTTAGTGTACCAAAAAAAACCCAAAAATCCGGTCCGCGGAGGGTGCTCCGAGGAAATATTCTTCCACTTTTTTTGTGTTTTTTTTTGCCACATCAATTTCTTAGAACATAAGTTTATTTCATGGAGTCATCAGAGATAGCTCCGCGGAATCCATGTTCATATGTGGAAACAGCCTTTTTTATGTTTATATTTTGGAAAACAACCCCAAAATATATCTATTAAGAGGAATAATCTCATATTTAAAACTCACAATGATTAGGTCATCTCTAGATCCCACCCATAGTGATCCACCAACTGTTTGGATTATGCCCTGTGATTTTGATTTTGTAAGGTTTCCATTTGTTCAAAAAAAATTTATAGATCATAGATATGCACATTAGCGGTTTTAGACCGGTTTTTGGTCGGTTTTGTCTCTGAAATGATTTTTTTTATGAAAGATCCGTACGGTTTTGTGCCAGTCATTTTTTGGAACAGTATCGATTTTTTTGGTCATTCTCATGGTCTTTGTGTGGGAATTTTCAGTTCGGTTTTGGGTTTTTCGGTTCAGTTCGGTTCTGATGTTTTTTGGTTTTTTGGTTTTTCGACTTTTTCATTAACATATGTGTAATATGTTACATTAAGATTTACTAGAAATGGTACACTAAAAAATATAAAAATAAATAAATAAATAAAATAATATGTGTAATGTTATTAAAACATGTGTAATTAACACAAAAATGATATGTTTATAAACTTTGACTACATGTCTTTTTGAGACGGGTTCCGGACCAGTTTCATGTCGGTCTCAAACCGACATTGTGTCGGTTTCAGTATGGTCTGGTCTCTTTGAGACCGATCTCGGAACGGTCCTTTTTTCGGAGTGGTTTGGTTCTCAAAAAATTTTAAGGTTATAAAGGTTTTAAATAATCTTTCAAAAAATCATTTCTATAAAGTTCTAGGATTATAAAGCCATCGATCACAAACTTCACAAAAACTTTCGTTGCTCAATTCAAATTCTTGTATTTGCTCCAAAAATGGTTTTTTCTTAGAATAATTATTCAACCAATAATAATAATAATAAAAGTTAAGTTATACTAACGTGTACAATGTACGATTACAAATATAACCATGACCAAACTATATAGAAGTCACAGTTTCTCGACTTCTTTGTATCTAGGTAGACTTGTGATACACGACACAAACACGATACGAGTTTTTTTTGTGTATATGTAGGATGAAAGTAGGATTTTATAAATAAAAAAAACATATCATGAAAGTACATTATCGATATAAGCTAAATGAAAGAAATAACAACGTAGTTTCATTAATTCCTATATTAAAGTATCCTACTTCCGATGCTTCCTATTACAACATTATGAAAGAAATAACAATGTTGTTTCATTAATTCCTATATTAAAGCATCCTACTTCCGCTGCTTCCTATTACAACATTATGCTTCCTATTTTTTCTTATTACGACAATGTACTTTGGAATTCTATTCGGTTGTAACGTTGTACTTCTGATGAACAAAAAAAAAGGCTCACATGCCCCCAAAGTAAGGAAACGACTCAATGCCAATTTTCTTGATTGCGGGCTATGATATTGCAACATTTTCTTGCTTTTTTAAAAGATTTCTAAGCCTCAGATGCCTAGACCCACATCCACTACTACTGCATTTGTTACTAAAATATGGATGTACATTATTAATTAATAGTTTAATACATGTAAAAATGTAACACCCCGAGATTCATGTATACTTTTTTCATCCTTGTTCTTTGTGGATTGGTCATGTTTAGTCCTTGAGTGAAGTTTTCTTTAGCAAGTGAGTACGCTAGGCGTACCAGAGGGGTACGCTGCGCGTACTCATGCGCTTAAATTGGACGCGGTGTCGCCAAGGTACGTTGGGCGTACCAAGAGTTACATTGGGCATAACCGGGCCAGGTGCAAAACCCTAATTCCGTCTTGAGCACTATTTAAAGGGTGCTAAGGCTCATTTATCACCCTCCATATCCGTGAGTGAAACCCTAAAAGAGAGGCCCCATCGTCCTTAGTGTGTGAGAGTATTGATTGGAGCTTTTTGTGCTTTGGTGACTTAGTGAAGGAGAAGGAAAGGAGTTCTTGGAAGCTAAAGCTTGAGGTGCCATTTTGGATATGAGATCTACAGAGAAAAGGGCTACACCTGGAGGTATAAAGTTCAAAACTTTCCTATTCTTTTGATTATTGTTGCATGTGCCATTTTCTAGGGCTAAAACCCCAAAGGTGGAGACTTTATGAGTGTAAAGTGCTCCATGGTCCGAGATCTGTCCCTTTTCAGTGGTATTAGTGATTTAGAACCATAAAGTTGCCATCTTGGATGTTAGTTTAAGGTCATGCTTGTGTAATAAGCCTTCTAGAGTTAAAGGATGGAACATTGTGAGAGTTGGTGACTTATCCAGCCATGCAAAGGCATAAAGTCATCAACTTTATGGATTAAGAGGCTTATATGTGGTCGGATCTAGAATTTGGATGTGAGTCTTAACTGTTTAAGACCTAAAGAGTTAAAGGGCTGAAGCTGGGGGAGTACGCCGGGTGTAATCCCAGTACGCGCCGCGTACTGGGTGGCGTTCCCCGATCCTAAGAGGCAGCCGGGTACGCGTAGTGTACACATCTGGTACGCGCAGCGTAACCCGGAAAGTTGACTTTTAGGGTATGGTCTATTGTGGGGCTTTTGGGTTGTGAGAGGGGTAAAATGGTCTTTTACCCTTCTGAGAGTTTCATAAGAGGACATAGTCTAGCCTTTGAGAGTTATAATAATTAGATTATTTATTTTATATGATTAGGCGGAGGTTAGACCAGCGTTACCGAGTCAGAGATTACCGAGATACCCGAGGTGAGTCTTCTCACTATACTTTACCTAGTGTGGTAACAGAGTTATGTGATAGAGTATTTCAGAGTTATATGCCAGTGTAATTGCATGTTATTTATGTGCTATGATTTATTGTGATATGTGTTATGCATGATTCAGAGTTACAGAGTTAGGATCTTCGAGTCCACAGAGTTAGGGCCAAAGGGACCATAGAGAGTTGGGGCTGGAGGGCCCTACTGAGACACATAGACCTGAGGGTCAACAGAGTTACAGCCTTGAGTGGCTATTATGTGTTAGAGTGGTATTTTGGGGAACTCACTAAGCATTTATGCTTACAGTGTTATGTGTTATGTGTTTCAGGTACCAGTGATGATCGCGGGAAGGCGCCGGCATGATTCGTACACACACATGGGATTTTATTTATTTGATCTTGGGAGATATTTGTGAAACAAAGGACATGATACTATGAAATTTTATGAATGAATGAATTTTTGAAAATGTGTTTGAAAATGCGAAAAATTGTTTTAATTTTTACAGTGTTACAATTTGGTATCAGAGCCTTGGTTTGAGGGATTCGGGTGCACCTTCGGGCGTATCTGAACTCAAACCGAGGATTTGAGGAAATTTTGATAATAAAACAAGTTTTCAAAAGAAGAACTTACGAGACAAACAGAACAGAGCCGTGTGTACGAACAGCCAGCGCCCGAACGGTGATTTTCCCAAAATACCATTACTATAAGTGTTATAAGTTATGATGTGATATGTTATATGATGAGCTATGCATGCTAGAGTAGACTAGGTATTCTTATTAGGAATAGAGTGACCTGATATGTGAGTATATTATACAAATTGTTTCCAAATTGTATCTTTAAAATGATAATGGTTTACATCCAACAATGTATTAAAACTAATAAATTAACTATAATATGTTAAAAGTTAAAAAACATAACTTTATAAGTAGAAGTAAAGATATTATTTTAATATTGAAATTTAATTTATATATGATTACACTTTAAGTTTGATATTTATTTAACCTTATTAACCAACTTATATTTATTATTAGAAAAAATTGAAAACTCAAGGAAGTTTCAAATGAATGTGGGAAAAGAAAAAATGCATGAGAGTTTCAAATGAATGTGGTGAAAGGAAAAATGCATCATTTATAAGTAGAAGTAAATATGTTATTTTAATAAAAAAAACATAATTTTATAAGTAGAAGTAAAGATATTATTTTAATATTTAAATTTAGTTTATATATGCTTCCATTTTAGGTTTGATATTTATTTAACCTAATTACCAAATTATAATAATTATTATTATTATAAAGTAATTGAAAAGTAATGAGAGTTTCAAATGAATGTGATGAAAGGAAAAAATAATGGGGGTTTCAAATGCATGAGATTCAAGAAAAAATACGAGCTTTATAAGTATGTATGATATGATATATGATTTAATGTTATTTATATTTGTGGCTATTGTTATTTAATTTTTTAAAATTTTATTTGTCTAATATTTTAATTTGACAAAACTGCAAAATTGGACCTTGTGGTTTCATAAAAACTTTGGATAGGGTCCAAAACATCTACGACTTGCATGGAAGGTCCAAAATCAAAAACTTCATTTAATTTTAGTCCAAAAAAACTTAAAATGATGGTTATACCCTTTTATTTTCTTTTTGTATTTTTTATAATTAATTTAATACCATTTTAACTTAAAAAAAGGAAAGAAAAGGATTATCCCCACCCACCTCTCTCTCTCTCTCTCTCTCCTCTGTCTCTCTCTCTCTCTCTCTCCACCATAATAAACACACACTCTCACATATATCGTTGATGCAGGTTCATCACCACCCCTCCCATATTCTTCTTCTTCACCTTTACCTGTAACTGAAACCTCTCACATATACATCCTAAAAATCAAATCCCTCACAAACAAAACCCGCTAATAGAGGTGCTAATAGAGGTGTTGGTTCTAGGAGTCAAGACATCTGATGACATCGCTCAGCCACCGCTTCATCTTCTCCGACATTAGTTTAAATATTCTTCTAGGTTTTCAGTATATATCATCTCATCTTTTGGGTTTTTGATCTCCGCAAAGAGGCCGCGTAAGATCAGCAAGAAAAAAACACCTTTAATTGCAAGAATGAAGATCAAATAAGGGTGGGATGAAACTGTAGTCGCTTCTCCATCAACCTCATCTTTGAAGACACAATTGATGCATCCAAATCACTTACAATTTTCCTTTATTTTAGTTACAACTCCTTAATTTTGTATTCCTATTTCTATACATCTTCATCTGTTTGCTGAATTGGATCTCTCAGGAAAGAAAATTGGAATCGTATGCTTCTAAATAGATCAGAAAAAGAAGTATGAAAACAATGCACTCCAGGTGCTCGATGAAATACCTGAAAGAAAAGTACCTTAAGATATTTCAATATATGAAAGAAAAGTACCTTTACTGAGGTTCTGGAAATGAAATACTTCTAAAATACAAACACATATCAGAAGAGAAAAGTGAAGGAATCGGGAATGAGTTCATTGTTCAGCCAAGAAGGAATCAGGAGTATGTTGCAGTCATCAAAGATAGATCAGAAGAAGAAGTTTAACCTTATTGAACATGTTGAGAGGAATACAATTGGTATTTGAAGCTGGAAAATTAATTGAAGAAATTTGTTTTTGTAGTCAACTTATGTGTATAATCTAGTAGAAAAATTGTAAAAAATCTGGGTTTTTTCCTCGATTTGTAGAAGAAGAAGAAGAAGAAGAAGAGAGAGAGAGAGAGAGAGAGAGAGAGAGAGAGAGAGAGAGTAACATGAGGTGGTTTATAGCAAAATGTTTTTGTTTTTTGTTTTTTTTTTAAATCAAAATAGTATTAAAATAATTATAAAAAAGAAAAAAGAAAATAAAAGGGCATAACCGTATTTTCAAGTTTTTTTGGACCAAAATTACAGAAAATTCTTGATTTTGGACCTTCTATGCAAGTCAAAAACTTTTTGGACCCTATCCAAAGTTTTTTGAATACCACAGGGACCAAATTTACAGTTTTTTCATTTTAATTTCTATCATTATAATTATTTAAAACACTAAACATTATTTTTTGATTTTAATGGTAACAGTATAATCATTTATATAAAGTTATTTTTAACTTTTGTTATTGTAAGTTATTTTAAGGCAAACTTTTAATGATTATAAAAATATATTTAAGAAATATTTTAGTATAATTGAGATTACAATTTAGTTTTTGCATTTATCGCTACAATTTATCACTTTTAACTATTTATAAAATATTCTTTAGTTTTTTAAGTGGAACTGAAATTTATATTTAAGTTGACATTGTAATGTTATATTTAAGTTAACAATTTAAGTATTTTGTCAAAACTGTTCAAAAGGTGTAGCTTTAAACTGATAATGATTTATATATAACAACATATTAAATCTAAGAAATTAAGTATAATATGTTAAAAGTTAAAGACATAACTTTATAAGTAGAAGTAAATTATATTATTTCAAAATTGAAATTTAGTTTATTTATGATTACACTTTAGATTTGATATTTAAGTGATCTTATTAACCAACTTATAATCATTATTAGAAAGTCATTACAATTTATCACTTTTAACTATTTACATAATATTCTTTGGGTTGTTTAAGTTAAACTAAAATTTATATTTTAGTTGACCCTGGAATATTATATTTAAATTAATAATTTAAGTATTTTATACAAATTGTTCCAAAATTGTATCTTTAAAATGATAATGGTTTACATCCAACAATATATTAAAACTAATAAATAATATATAGTATGTTAAAAGTCAATGAACTATCACGAAAGTGCACTTGTTTAAAGGCTAAATCAATAAAATTTTGACATTACATTTTTACTTTTCTATAGAAATGTTTTTTTAAAAGGTTAGAAAAAAAAATATAATGATTTAAAAGTTAAATTGATATGATTGTGAAAATACAATGATTGCTTTCTGTATTTTGATCCTATGAAGCTAAAATTACCTGCTTGCCCCTCCTGAAGGGTAATGATTTTAGTTTACAAGATTGTCTCTACTTGTTTTTTATCACTGAAGGGTATTTTAGACATTTTCAACTAATAGTCAAACTTTCGTCACCTGGTCCTTAGCTTTAACACAACGTATTTCTTTGCAGGTGATTGGGTTTAATGATATTTTCTAAATGCCTTACTGGTATAGCAACATTACTTAAATCCATGAATATTAAGCAATAAATCATAGCTTTAACTTAAGGATTTTGAAGGTTTGTTGTTTGTGAAATAAGATAAAACAGAAGGGGTAATGTCGAGAAGACGAGAAGTGATGCAGGTACGAACAATTTGACGAAGAAAAAATGAGAAATCGAACCAAGTAAGGGGAATACCTGATTACCGAGTAGTCGAGTACCAAACAATGAAGATGGAGAGAATGATGTGTCGACGTCGCTGTAAGCTGGCCGTCGTGAACTGCTTCTACCTTCTCGATTCTCGACTCTCGAGCTCCTGTAACAACGACGTTGCTGACAAGGGTAATGGTAGAATTCCGGCGAGACGATGAAGAATGGTGTGAGTGTCTGAGTGAGTGGAAGTTCGAACGAGGAACGATGGCTGATCACTTATAATATTTCAATTAATCATTGCCTAATCATTCCATGCCAACAACCATTATTTTCCCCAAATAAGAATTCTTAAATACAATATAATACCTAAATTGCATAGAAAGTTTGTGGATGTTACAATTTACAAAAGGTTTATATAACTTGGGTGTTTGGTTTAGCTTTTTAGAGATTAAAAGATCTTTTTGGAAAAATTATAAAAAATCAGATTTTCTTAACTTTTTCAAATAATTGATTTTCCTTCTTTCTAAAAAGTTTTTTGTTAAACATCTTTTGCCTATAATTTTTTCTAAAAGGACTTTTATCTATTAAAAAATAAGCAAAAAGTTGATGAACAAATCTTGCTTCAAATGGTTGTCTCACTCCCACGAACCATATCTATACGCACCCGGGTTTTATTTACAAACCCCATCTGCTAAACCTCTCTTCACTATCACGAATTACAGGTACACTCTTTCTTTCTCTCGGAAACCAAGTTTCGGTTCTAGGGTTTCCTTCTATATTTGTGTATTTCTTGATTGATGTTGAAACTAAATAAATTCTCCTCCAATTTCACTGGTTTCGTCCTACTATACTGTATTTCGTCCGATAAAATGAAACAAATTTGAAATTTCAATGATGATATCCGCTCAAACTCGGAAGTGAAACCGGCTGTCCATGAAACCTACTGAATTTCAGCGTGAAACTTGTAACGAGTTCATGACTATGTATATTTAAATTGGAATCTCATTTAAATTTAAAATATGAAGATGTCAATTTCTGATGCTATCCATGTTAAGTTTGGATTTAGGAAGTAACTATTTCACTTATAAGCAATAATAGATTCAATTACTTGTACCCTGTGCGAGACATTTATTCTTTTTATTCACTTCCGTTATATATTCTAGCAACTGAGTTGACCCGTTTTACAGGAGCTTCTTGTTACTATTGAGGCTTTGATAACATGATTTCGCCATAGCTCTGCACATCCAGAGTTCGTACTTCATAATTTTCAGTCTGTTGCATTATTTATTTTTATGTTAGTTCCTAAAAAATAAAGTTAAATGCCTCTCATACTATCTTCCTCCTTCATGCCCCCCTGTTCTTTTGTTGATACTGTCAAGGAACCCCATATTATATTCCCACAACCATCATTATCACATCCACATCACAATTCTATCCACTGTAACATTCTTCGAAAATGCTTATTTCCTAATAACCACATATCCATGATTCTAAAACACAAAGCACCCATGAAACTCATAGCAAGAGAATCCTCCATGAACTCCAGTTATGAACTCTTCAGTGATGAAAACAGTATGGAAGATGATTGGATAGATCAAGGAGAAGGAGATGACTCCATGGATTCACCTTGGGAAGGGGCGATTTTGTACCAGAGAAACCCTTCAATCTCCCACATTGAGTATTGCACAACCTTAGAAAGATTAGGATTAGGACATCTGTCTACTGATGTGTCAAGATCTCGAGCTTCTTTAATGGGATTACGTGTCACAAAGTCAGTGAAGGATTATCCACATGGAACACCTGTCTTGATATCCATGGATGTTACCAGAAAGAAGCACAACTTAAAGCTTGATGGGATCATACGTACAGTCTTAACTCTTGGATGCAACAGGTACAGGGACATAATTTAAATACCTTTCAAAGTACAGGGACATAATTTGTAATTGTTTGTTTAAACTTTGATTGAAGGTGTGGTGGATCTGCTGCTGATTGTGTGTTCTCTAATTTCTCAATTGTACTAAGTGAAGAGCCAATAGAAGAGCCTGAAACAATTAACATGGGAGTAATTTATGGTCAAAGTAAGGTCAATGGAACTGAAGAAGAAGAAGAAGAAGATGATTTAGCATCTGTTGACTTAGATGACTGGTTGTATTTCCCTCCTGAAGAGAAAGTGATAGACATATCAAAGAATGTAAGAGACATGGTGCATCTGGAAATAAAGATCAATGCCATATGTGATCCGATGTGTAAAGGTTTGTGTCTAAAATGTGGTCAAAATTTGAATACAAGTAGCTGTAATTGTAGTCAACAGGAATCAAAGGCCAAAAGTTATGGGCCTCTTGGAGGCCTAAAAGAGAAAATGCAACAATAGGGAGAGTGGGCATTATATTATGTGTATAGAGTCAAAACAGAAGTTTTGTGGATAAGAAATTAAGAAGACTGTGTGTGATACCCTGAAATTTAATATTTTATTTTGATTTTGTTTTAACTGTAAACCTTTTAACCTTGTGAAATCCAGGATTTCTGTAACTCAGATGATCGAATGGCTAGTTAATTTCAATATTATATTGTCAAATTTAATTTTTGTGATTTGATGAAACCGACCAAGATTAAGAATTATCATATAAAATGGGTTTGATTCCATGTCTTTGAAAGTAATTTTCGATTAATAAAGTTTCTCTTTCTCCCACTACAACTTAGCTTCACCAACTTAATGAATTCACCGGTTCACCCTCTCAATTTCAAGATGACCTCCCAAATGAGCGATGAGGTAGAAAACTTTTTCATACATTAACTTTTCCAGAACTAGTTGATTTTATAGGTAAGAATCAAAATCAATTAACATAAACTTCACAAAGGGATCGATGGTACATGGAAATGTTAGCTTACGGGAAGATGATGCCATCTTGTTGATTCTTTGTCTTCTTGTAATGATGCATTATTGATTTCCCGATGGAGAGATTGTATGTAGACAACATCCACGATCATGGCATTTATAAGGAGTTAGAGCATAACTAAAAACTCTTCAATATCCTCTTGAGATCGTTCCTATACTTCTTGGGTTAGATCGTTCCTATACTTCTTGGGTTAGATCGTTCCTATACTTGGGCATTAAGTTGATTGTTCATGTACTTGGACATTAAGTTTATTAGTTTACCTTATGAAAAAACTATTTGAACCACACAAATATAGTCCCTCAAATTATATATGTTATCATATCTATTACATTACAAATATTTATGTTTAGGGACCTGATATGTCATTATTGACATATGACAAACATTATGGTACACAATATAAACAAACAAGACATGTAATAATGTTAAATATTGTTGGTATTATCAAACTTGTCATTTGAAGTTTATGCAGGGTTAATATTGGAAATTTGTTAAGTTATCGGGTCAAGGCATGAGTTGAGGCGCGGATCTTTATACCCGATTATCTGGGGGTATAAAGCCTAGAGATGAGTACTGTGGAAAGGTTAAGCGTTTGTTTCACTCTCTAAGAACTCGAAGATCCTCTCAGTTCTTGTTTTAGGGTTTCATATGTTCATCTGTTCTTCATCTTTCGTATTTTTCTGTTTCCTAAAATAGATTAGGATGAGTGATTATATAAGAGAGTAGAGTAGGATTTATGTAGTGAGGTTTTCTTGTAAGTAATGAAAACCATCTGTTTATTTGTCCTAAAATGATATAATAGATGATGATGTTGGGAAGATGAGTTTCTAAGTTTTTTACATGGTATCAGAGCGTTAGGGCTTTCGATCTGTACTTGAAGATTGTTCTTCATAAAGGTACGCTTCATCTCGATTTCTATTTTCTTTTGTTAGATCCTTGTAGATCTTCATAGCTGGGTTCGTATTGTGATTTTCGTTGAAATCTCAGAAATCTGACTCTTCTGTGAACATCTAGGGTTCTTTTTTCGTTTTTTGGTGATTATCAGTTTGATCTGAATCATCTTGTTTTTGGTCTTTGGTTCTTGAGATTCTGGTACTGCGAGTTTCTTTGTAATCTTGCAGGTTTATCTTCAAGTGGAGATCCTTGAGTGATTGTTGTCATCATCAAGTGGAGATCCTTGGTTGATAAGTCGATTCTTCATTTTCTGGTCGATTAATCCTGTTCTCTGAAATAACTCTAAACAACGGATTTCATCACCGTTGTTTCTCAAAGAGAACGGAGTAACAGGAGTCGATCCATTTCATCCATCTGCTTATAGCTCTGTGAGATGTTCTCTTGCCCTTTTCTTCCTCTTTCTTAGCTATAGATGTGAGTTTCCTGGTTGTCTTATGCACACCAGTTAGTGTCGTTTATCTTCTGGTTTTTTTACTCTGTGATTCTTGTCTTGGGCCCCGACATATTGTGGTGACCATCTGGACATATAAGGATCATAGGAGTTTTTTGTTTGTTTCTTTATTTGTCATTGGATTGATTTTGTGTTAGTATGGCTGATTCTCCTCCTGAGACTAGTAGTAGTTCAAAGGTTGATCCCTTGAACTACGATGATCCTCTTTACATACATCCATCTGATAATACTGTAACCACAATTGTGAGTTTTAAGTTGACTGGGACAGATAATTTTCGTATATGGCGCAGCTCTATGATTAGGAGTCTTAAGGCTAGAAATAAACTAGGGTTTGTAGAAGGAACTGTAAAGAATGACTCCACTGATATAATCAAATCCTCAAAATGGGAACGAGCTAATGCTGTAGTGTGTTCTTGGATTCTTGGGTCTTTGTCTGAATCAATTTATTCTGGTCATGCTTATTCTGAATCTGCTGTAGATATTTGGAATGAACTCTTTGAAACATACAATAAGGCAGATGGATCTGTTATTTTTAATATACATCAAAAAATTAATGCACTTAAACAGGATGGTTCCTCTCTGTCTGAATACTTTAATAAGCTAGATACACTTTGGAAAGAGTTTGATGGTCTTACTAATCTTGCTGAATGTACTTGTGAGGCTGCTGCTAAATATAATGATCATTCTAAGCTTATGAAGCTAATGCAATTTTTAAGTGGTCTTGATGACTCTTTTAATCAAGTAAAGAGTCACATTCTTTTGATGGAACCTCTTCCAAATGTTAAGACTGCTTTCTCAATTATTTCTAGGGAGGAGTCTCATCAAAAGAATGGAGTTTTGACTTCTGTTTCTAATGTGTCTAAAATTCAATCTTCTGCGTTTAACAGTAAATTTAATGATAAGAAGAGTTCTAATTCTAATTCTAATTCTAATTCTAATTTTACTAGAGGCAGAAATCAAAATCTACAATGTAAAAACTGTGGTTTAAAAGGACATCTTATTGACATATGTTATAAATTGATAGGCTACCCAAAGGATTTTAAGTCACTTAATGAAAATCAAAGAAAACAGAATAAGACTTTTTCTGTTAATTCTTCTTCTGTTCCTTCTAGTAGTGTTTCTTCTTCTAGTGTTCCTGGGAATGATGGGACATATTGTTTCACAAGTGAACAATATCATAAACTGTTGAGTCTTATCAATGAAAAATCCTCAACTTCTGAGGATACTTCAGTCAGTGCAAATATGGCAGGTATTCCTTTTTTTAATGCCTGCAGTTCTACTATTAATCATCAAAAGTGGATTGTTGACTCAGGTGCAAATCAACATATGACTTCATCTGAGTCTTTGTTACAAGACACTGTTGATGTTTCTAAATTGAATCTTCTTGTTAATCATCCTAATGGTTCTTCTGCTAAAATTGAAAAAATTGGAAACTTACAGTTTTCTGAAAAATTAACACTATTTGATGTCTTTGCTGTTCCTGGTTTTAGTGTAAATCTTCTTTCTGTTCACAAGATATGTAAAGACACAAATTGTGAAGTTGTTTTTAATGAATCTTGTTGCAAAATTCAGGATTTACAATCCAAGAAGGTTGTGGAGAGTGGTAGAGAGTCTGGGGGATTGTATTATCTGAATGCTTTTCCCTCAGGTATTAGTTCTTGTAATTTGATTAAGTGTTGTGTTTCTAAACTTACATGGCATAGTAGGTTAGGTCATCCTGCAGAACAGTCTTTAAATTCTTTAAAAGATGTTCTTTGTTTTGATAATTCTTTTCTTCCTCCTTGTGACATCTGTCACAAAGCAAAGCAAACTCGTGAGTCTTTTCCTCGTAGTGATCATAGTTCTTCTAAACTTGGAGAACTGGTTCATCTAGATGTTTGGGGTCCCTATAGGGTGTCTACTAGAGAAGGCTATAAGTTTTTTTTGACTGTTGTGGATGATTTCACAAGGGCTACTTGGGTTTACCTTTTGAAAAGTAAAGATGAAGTTTATACTAGTTTTACTTCTTTTTTTCATGTTTTGATGAATCAGTTTGATTCTAAAATTAAAACAGTTCGTTCTGATAATGGAACTGAGTTTTTAAATCATAAAATGGAATCTTTTCTTAATCTTAATGGTATTATTCATCAGACTACTTGTGTTTATACACCCCAGCAAAATGGGGTTGTTGAAAGGAAACATAGGCATATTCTTAATGTTGCTAGGTCTTTACTTTTTCAGTCTGGTCTTCCAATTAAATATTGGGGAGAGGCTGTCCTCACTTCAGTGTTCTTGATAAACAGAATGCCAACTTCGGTTTTAAAAGGACAGTCTCCTTATGAGTTAGTGTTTAAGAAAATGCCTGTGTTTGATCATATAAGGGTCTTTGGCAGTTTATGTTTTGCTACCAAACTTAATAATTTTGATAAGTTTTCTGAAAGAGCTGAAAAGTGTGTTCTGTTAGGGTATTCTTCTGGAAAAAAGGGTTATAAACTTTTGAGTCTTGATACAAATTCTGTTTTTGTTTCCAGGGATGTGAAGTATTATGAGTCAGTCTTTCCATTTAAACTGAAATCAACAACTGTTGATAATCAATTTGGTTCTAGAGATTTAGTAGACCCTTTTTCCTATGATGGTTATGATGATTCTGATTATGTGAATGATTTAATAGATCTTAATGACTTGAGTGTTAACCATCAAATGGATGGCTCTAATGCAGCTCAGGATTTTGGTGAAACTTTGGTTGATACTACTGTTGATAGTCATAACCAGACTAGCGAGGTATCTGAACCTTCATTTGATAGGACTATGCCAAGTCATTCAGATTCAACTGAGGAAAATAGTCATTCAGCTTCATTGCCTTCTCTAGGACAGTCAATAGGGGCGTCTAGGTCTAGAAGAGAGTCTCGAATGCCTGTTAAATTCAGTGATTATATTGTTGAAGGGAAACATAGATATGGAATTGAACATATGATGAATTATTCTGTTCTTAGTGCTGAAAATAAGTGTTTTTGTTCTAATTTGAATAAAACTGTTGAACCAAAAACGTTTGAAGAAGCTTGTTTAGATCCAAATTGGATTGAAGCAATGAATAATGAAATGGAAGCTTTATATCGTAATCATACCTGGGATATTGTAGAGCTTCCTAAAAAACGTAAACCTATAGGCTGTAAGTGGGTTTATAGGATTAAGTACAAACCTAATGGGGAAGTAGAGAGGTATAAGGCTCGTCTTGTAGCTAAGGGTTATAATCAAAGAGAAGGAGTTGATTATCAGGAAACTTTTTCTCCTGTAGCAAAAATTGTTACAGTTCGTATAGTTATTGCTTTGTCTGTTAATAATTCCTGGCCTTTATATCAGTTAGATATTAATAATGCTTTTCTTTATGGAAATTTAACTGAGGATGTGTATATGAGTTTGCCTCAAGGGTATCATACTAAGGGTGATACTAGAGTGTGTAAACTAGTTAAATCTTTATATGGGTTAAAACAGGCTCCTAGAAAATGGAATGAAAAGTTGTGTTTTGAACTGTTTAGTTTTGGTTTTATTCAAAGTATAAATGATTACTCGTTGTTTATTAAACAGAACAGTAGTTCAATTGTTGTTCTGTTGGTTTATGTGGATGATATTATTCTCACAGGAAGTAATGAAATTGAAGTTCAAAATGTTAAAACTTTTCTTAACTCAAAGTTTTTGATTAAAGATTTGGGAAAATTGAATTACTTTCTTGGAATTGAAGTAATAGATACTAATAAAGGAATATGTTTAAACCAAAGAAAATATTGCCTTGAGTTGTTACATGAATTTGGTATGTTGAGTTGTAAACCTGCTTCAACTCCTTTAGAGGCAAATTTTGTTCCTAAAAGGAGTTGTGACAGTAATGATCCTTTACTTGAAAATGTTACTGAATTTCAGAAATTGGTTGGAAAGCTTATATATTTGACTATTACAAGGCCAGATATATCTTATTGTGTTCAAATTCTTAGTCAGTTTATGCATAAACCACACAAGTCACATTTAAACATTGCTTTTAGGTTACTTAGATATTTAAAAAATAGTCCTGGTCGTGGTGTTTCTATTGTTAAATCAGAAAATTGTGACTTGGTGGGTTATGTAGATGCTGATTGGGCTAAATGTCTTAATTCAAGAAAATCTGTCACTGGATATTTTGTTTATTTTGGAAATTCACTGATTTCCTGGAAAAGTAAAAAACAAGCTACTGTATCTAGATCTTCCACAGAGTCAGAATACAGAGCTTTGGGTTCTATTACATGTGAAATTATTTGGATTTTAAAATTGTTGTTTGATTTGGGAATGAAAAGTTCATTACCTGTTTCAGTTTTTTGTGATAGTGAATCTGCTATTAAATTAGCTTTAAATCCTGTGTTTCATGAAAAAACAAAGCATTTTGAAATTGATTTACATTTTGTTAGGGAAAAAATTACAAATGGAGTTTTAAAAGTTGAAAAAATAAGTTCTTCAAAACAAAGAGCTGATATGTTAACTAAGTTTTTAAGTGTGTCACAATATAATTTTTTAATTGATGAAATTGGCTTAATAAATCTTTTTTGTTGATATTGTTTTTTTAATTTTTTAATGCCAAGTTTGAGGAGGGGTGTTAAATATTGTTGGTATTATCAAACTTGTCATTTGAAGTTTATGCAGGGTTAATATTGGAAATTTGTTAAGTTATCGGGTCAAGGCATGAGTTGAGGCGCGGATCTTTATACCCGATTATCTGGGGGTATAAAGCCTAGAGATGAGTACTGTGGAAAGGTTAAGCGTTTGTTTCACTCTCTAAGAACTCGAAGATCCTCTCAGTTCTTGTTTTAGGGTTTCATATGTTCATCTGTTCTTCATCTTTCGTATTTTTCTGTTTCCTAAAATAGATTAGGATGAGTGATTATATAAGAGAGTAGAGTAGGATTTATGTAGTGAGGTTTTCTTGTAAGTAATGAAAACCATCTGTCTATTTGTCCTAAAATGATATAATAGATGATGATGTTGGGAAGATGAGTTTCTAAGTTTTTTACAAATAAGCATTACAAATAGTTATAAAATCACTTGAATGTATTATTTTCCTAACATTTGTAGCTTATAGGGGTGTCAAATCATGCAACCGTGTCGTGTTTTGTCTGACACGATATAATGCGACAAAGTTTTATGTAACATGACATGACACGCTATTGTGTTTTCGTTAACTAACACAAAAACAAATCAAATAAAAGCAAACAAACAATACACGACACGACAAATATAACATAAAATAACAATTAGTTTATTAATTAATACTTAATCATACGTGACATAGCAAACACAATAAATAAATGTTAAATCATTTTAATTTCGTGTTGAATTCTGAACATGACACATCATCGTATTTTTTACACTTGATACGAACAGAACACGAAAACAGATTCAAATTTTAGTTTTCTCTCAATTATATTCGTATCGTATATTTTTATCGTGTGTCATGATTGTGTAAACGAAGGGCGTTTGTCTGTGAGTTATTTTACATTATGACGGATTTATAAAACTCATGGACCATTGTATATCTTTTTGATTCTGTAATGTCCTTGAGGTTTGTGCCCACAAGGTAGGTAGTATCAACCGCTACAAATAGATAGTGAACTGTGAACATTAGATTTATGGGCACATGGCATGGACAACTGCATATATAGGGGAGGTTTTTAAGTGGGAAGATAAGCATTTGTTTGCCTATAATTTCCGTTCTCTTATCTTTATATTTGTTTCTCTCTTACTCAAATTACTTACATTATCTCAAATTATAAAAAATATGAAATAATAAATAAAATATATTTTCATTATTAAAAAATATTGTCAATATAATTAAAATGAGACAAATATCGAATATACATAGAAATAAAATTTATCAATATTTTTAGTTTTATAACAATAGATATTAATCATTGATACGTTTAGCTATTAAAGTTTTTCTTGTTTAATTTATTATTAAACAGTTTGAGTATATTCAGTACAATATGGTTGGTTACTAGTTGTGAGACCTATGTATTACATGAGTTACTTAAAAAAAGTTAAATATAAAGATCAAAATATTTGAAAACTTTGAATTTATAAAAAATAAGAAAAATAATAAATTATTAATAGAAATATTTTTTATCTTTTAAATTTAACAAATAATTTAAATAAATAAACGAAACTAATAAGCTTCAATTTTGAGAATTTTAAAATTAAAAGGTAAATTCATTAATGAAATTGATATCTATTTCTTATTATAATTATTGCAATTATTATAATAAAAATGTTTTTTATCTTTTAAATTTAACAAATAATTTAAATAAATAAAAGAATCTAACAAACTTTAATTTTAAGAATTTTGAAATTAAAAGTTAAATTCATTAATAAAATTGATATATATTTATTATTATATTTATTGTAATTATTATATTAAAACATTATACAAAATTTAATAAAATAAAACACTTGTAAAAAAAAATTAATTAAAATAACTACAAAATAATATTTATCAAATCCAATCACACTAAACAAGTTCCAATCACACTAAACAAGTTCAAGATTGAACCTTTATTATGTAACGACCCCACGGCTGTTGATTTAAGAGAATCATTACTATATTAATTACGAGTTGGATGAAACATGCTCACCGGTATAGTACGATTGAATTGATTAATCCGTTCCATCAACATACGGAATTTCGAGGGCTTCTTGAACTTCCTTTTCAGTTTTCCTACCTTTTTTGCTCTTGTAGTACACAGACATAAAGTTCCCCACAGCTCCATACTTCCTTCGACACTTTTCGTAAAGCGCTCCATCAAACATCCTCCAGAATTCCTTCTCGCTAAGTTCACTGACAGCATACTGTGTTTCGTACCCATGGTTTTCAATTAACCAGGTCTCCATTCGACGGACTGCATCAGACCCATCAAATACTTCACCCCTCAAGACTGATCCTGGTGCGTAGTAGAGTCCAATGTCTGTGTACATCTGGGCGTCTGTGGTGTCCCCCTTCCTGCGATGTTGCTCATACCCTGGCTCAGGATACACCATGGTCTTATATGGGTGCTTGTAGAGTTTGTGTGGACAAACCCAAATGGGATATACCTCCATTTCACGATGTGCCCACTCTAAAGCATCAGAAACCTTGTAAAGAGGGACAAGTAAATCTTGAAGGACATGCATGTCGTGATAATAGTTGTGCATGGCTTCGGTTTGGGCGACTTTTAGGAGAGGGATTTTTGGTGGCATCGTCCAACCAAGGAGGATTCGGAACCACCATTGATCAGCAAATGGAAGGATCAGCTTCGATTCCCAGAAATAACTTCGAGTATGTCTATGATAATACTCTCGAGTCGGTATGTAGTCAACGAATTCGCCTTTCTTGAGTGCTGTCTGAGCGTGTTGATAGAACCATGGCTTGAACCATAAACCGATATAGTTGATCTTAGTCCAGTTCATCTTCGCTTCTTCCTTGGAGGCGTACTTTCCCGTCATGCAAACAGCTTCATGAGGATTGTAGATCAAAGTTTCTACAAAATCTGGAACTTTTTCGCTATCGGTATCTCCAAATTCAGGAGCAAAAGAGTCGATGTATCCCTTTGCGAGATCACTTATGTTACCTCGTACAGGTTTGTATGTTACCTTCATGTATTCTTTGATGGGTATAAGCTTGATTTCAGCACAAGTAAGCAAACCGAGGGTCCCTTGAGACCATGGAATCGCGTAAAATAGATCAGAATACTCATTATCTTTCGTAGCACGAACAGCCCGTCCATCTGCAAGAATGATCTCATAAGCAACAACGATATCAGAGAAAAGCCCGTACAAATGCGAGCTTCCCTCGAGTCCGCTGCCATTGATGAGTCCACCAACCGTAAGATCTTCGAGCTCTGGGACAACCGCAAGTGCAAGATTCATTGGTACAGTGGCCCTTGTAATCTGACCCATCTTCACTAACGGCTCACATGTTGCAATCATTCTATCATGGTCGATTGCAAGAATGTTACGAAAGTCTGAAAGGTCTACTTCAAAGCGCATAGCTCGCTTGTAGTCGACATTTCGCATGCCTACTGTAACCCAGGGCTTTCGGGCTGTGCAGACAAGACCGTCTTTCGATGGGTTCCTTTCCTTCAACCTTTTGATGACTTTTATGACGTTTTTGTTGTGTTCCTTTTGGCGATGCTTGTAAGACTTCCGTTGTGATATAACTTGGTCAAGATATATGAACATGTCCAACATAAGAGACATTGGAAGTAAAAGAAATATGACCCCAACCCATCGGAATTGGATTAGGTAATCGACCCACACCTTCTTCCTCTTTGGTCTTATCATTGGAGTCTCGTGATTCGACATTCTGGGAGATCAAGATCTTGTCACGCTAACAGGAGACTAAAATAACCCACTTTGAAGAAGGGTACTCATTGATGTTCACACTCTTGAGGGGTATGTTGCAATTCACACTCTTGAGGAGTAAAGAAATTAGAATGCCTCAAACTTCGTGTATTATATATATACTTGATTTGACCCGAATTAATAAAAATAAAGATAAAATTATAAAAATCTGACACAATAATTAAAAAAAAAAAAGATAAAGTAACAAAAACATACTTCACGTTATTGGTAATATTAAAATGTTTAAAAAATAAAATGAAATGTCTGAATATCTATAACCATTGAAAGACCTTTGTAGACAATATTTTTTGTTATATTAGTTGGACGATCTTTTTCGTCATATATGAGTACCTTCAAGTCTTTTTACGTGAAAAACAACTACATATAACCGATCATGAGTGAAGATGGATTTATGCAAGTATAATGCAACATTTGATAATGAATGTTCTTGATTTTTGTTAGTGGTCATAGAAAAAAAAACATATACAGGGAATTACCTCCGTTGAAAACAGAAGAGGATTCTTTTATCATATTAGTTTGACATATGGAAATGATGGTTGAAAATGAGTAAATTTTGTGAAAATAGTATAAAAAAAACTGATTAGGGTGCATGTCAAAATTGTGCAAAAAGGTCATTTTAGAGCAATTTATACCAACAAACTTCCGTTAGTAAATCAAGAATAATGGACTAAAGTTAGGAGATTTTGGTGGAAATGGGATACTTTATGGAAAGGTAAAATTAATAATAAAAAAGTCCATTTTTGCATGAGGTGATAATTGTGTTAAATATGCATTTTTAGGGCATTGTTTTACCAATGTGCTTCCAGTATATGCCATTTTGACATTAGATCAAATTGGCTTAAACTAAGCATATTTTAGTTAAAATGTAAATGTTTAAGGTAAAATGATATTAATGGGGCTGTATTGGTACCATATAAAAATGATTTGAAAAAAATAAGCAATTTTAAAGCAATTCATAGCAATGCACTTCAGTTAAAATGACCATTTTAATATGAAATAAAAATGATTGATTTTGGCTTTTTTATTTCATTTACTATAATATTAAGCACACATATTAATCACATTTTGTTCATTAGATTCTATCCATCTTTATTTAAAGTTGAAATTCCTAAGAGAAATCATTATTGGTAATATTGAAATGATTGAAAAAAAAACAATAAAATGTCTGAATATTTATAATCGTTGAAGGACCTTTTTATAGACAATATTTTTTTGTTTTATTAGGTAGACGACCTTCTTCGTTACATGTGATTACCTTCAAGCTTTTTTTACCTGTGTGGCGAGAAACAACAACAAATAACTGACATGAGTGAAGACGTATCTAAATAAATATAAATGAATTCAAAATATGATCATTTTAGTAAATAACTCTAACATTATCCCTCAAAACAACAATGTTAATACAATTAATAAAAATACGTTTAGCAAACATTCGGTTGAAAAACTAGGTCGATTTTATATCTATGAGTTCATTCAGAAAATGTCAATAGATATAGTATTGAGTTTTTCAAAGGAGTTGAGTAAGATTTTATATTAATTTGTGTTTATGATTGGTAGTTTTGAACTTATCAAATGATCATGTCTAACAGGAAGGGACATTTTTTCTTTGTTATATTTACTTTTTTTTAAATAATGAATATGTTAAATATAATTATAGAAGTAAATTTTACAATAATATCCTATTTTTTATAAATCAATCCAAGCTGCTAAGAAAATAATATAACACATTTTAAAACAAACCAAATCAAATTTTAAGAACTATAACTACATGAACATTTGATCACATTGACATCAAGATGGTGAAGCACAATTTTAGACGAACACGGTTTTATTGACATGCTCGTGTTTTATGAGTTCATTTCGTACAAGAAAATATTGACGTTAGTTATCAAAGAAAGATGATATTTTGGTCTTTTAATAATAAACTAAGGTGTTGACTTCCCATTTAATCTATAAAAATGTATGTGTTTGCTTTATTTGATCAAACTCCAATGCTTTTGTAGATTTTGGTCGAGTTAAATCCTTCCCTGAATGAATAATAGGTATAAATGAGTTCACTTTTCACAAGAAATAATCAACGTTAGTTGTATTATCAACAACTAACACATGTGGATATGCTTCAAGAGTTCAAGAAGAATTAACATAGTTACTTGTATCTGTCTATTGAAATAACTTGTTTTTGGATGAATTTTAATTATAATATTAATTTGTATAATGTTTTGTATTATAGTATTATCACTATATGTCTATTTTAATATTCAAAGTAAGTATGAAAACAATCCCAATGAAATTAAGTGGAATTTAAGGCCAATGAAAGATAAAGATCATCAAATGCGTTGAATTTTTCAAATGAAGTCTGATGACATAGGAATCAAATCGCATTCCTCTTCTACATATCTCCTATAATAACATTAAACATAGTAATAAAACTATTATTTATTTTTTCTATATCAACACTTCAAATTCTTAATTACATCATCTATAAAAAAAATCTCTAAACGGAATCATTAGATTCACTCATATGAAAAAGAAAAAGCAAATAGTCAAATGAAGTCCTCATACCAGGCAAGTTTGTAGCATCAAATTCTCGTGAAACTAATAAATCTCTGTGACATGTTCGCGCTTCCAACCCGAAACCCCACTCTACAATTTTTTTAAAAAAATGGAATAATTAAAAGTTTTAAGCTAGGTAGATACATCATTTTATTGCATCCTTAAAGGTAGATACAACTTATTATTGGATCTCTAAAAATGGAATAATTAAAAGTTTTAAGCTAGGTAGACACATCTTTTTATTGTATACTTAAAGGTAGATACAACTTATTATTGCATCCTTAAAAATTTAGGTTATAAAATTCATACATTCATGATGCTTTTTCCCTTTCATGTGGGTGTTGGCATGTAGCCCTAAGAAAGTTTGTCACTTGTTTCTCATTAAGCTTCATAGCATATTCACCAACAATCTTGCAAATTTTTAATTATAAATTAATATCAACAAAACTTATAGTTAGGTAATACACAAGCTGTATTTGCTTAAAAAGTTAAGAGTTGGTGACAATAAAGGTTGTGAAATGTTTAATTTTGAAATTCATATCCGAGTTAAACCCATACCAAAGGTAATCTTATTAAGAGCTTTTAAGCATGCCGATGAAAGCTTTAACCTTCTCTTCTTTTACCTGCAATATTTATAGACTCTTCTATAAAGATCAAAAATTAAAAAACCATCTAAACAACCCATAAATGAAAAAGACGGAAGGTGTATAGTATGGTGCTACAATATATAAAGATCTAAGTGCAACAATAACATCTTACATTCATTTATTTGTTTATTAGAGTAACTTACTTGCATTTAAAGTATGATTTTATAATAGAAGTATGTTGCTATTTATAGACTCTTCTATGTATTATGTTGTAACATGAACGAATGAAAGTAGGATGCTATAAGACACACATTAAAAAATATCTTATGATTTCTTGCATTTAGCACAAAGAATAGCAACAAATTTTCGTTTATTGGTTTATTTTAGCATCATGCTCTCATTTATTCCATTATGACATTACGCTTTTGTTTTTTCTTTTTAGGGCATCGTACATTGAGAAAATTACAAAAAACTTATAATTAGTTTTGTGTAACTTTGAATATACTAAATAACTTTTTTTTTTTTTTTTTCATATGATCTGTAAGATGTGTTTATTTGCAGGAAATATATGCAACGTAGTAGGGTAAGAAATTCTAAAAGGAAAAAAAAGACAAAAAGCCACCATTTTTCTAGCGAGTGTTGAGACAAAAAGATACCATCTGTGAGCCCTACTGCATCTTCACAACTGAGTTTTTAGGACAAATTTAAATTTTGGGACAAAATGACCAGAAAACGGTTTGACATAAATAAGCCCATATGCCAACTGATTTTATTGGGACATAAAATTAAAAAAAATGACAGATTATATTTATGGTCATTTGGCATATTGTTTTGGGGACAGAAAAGTAAGATTTTTATGGTTGTTAGACACATTATTTATAAAACAAAAATGCCACCTAACTTTTTTTCTTTTTGTTAAATTACAGTTTTGACAGTAACTTAACCAAAAATTATCGAAAAAATATGCATCCACACCATCTAAATTTTATGAACCTCATGATTCCTTGATTGTAATGTTCATATTCTTAAAAATCTAACCATGTTATGATATATTTTTAAAAAAAAAAAAAAATCCTTAATGACAATAACTTCTCGAGTAACATACTTTACTTTTCAGTTTTAGAACACTAATGCAATGCTCAACAACTCTCGTTAAATGTCCAATGGTACAAAAGGCATTTCTAACAAAATTTAAATATAATTTAGTAGAACTATAATTTAGAGAAATTAATGATTAAATGGTTTTTTTTTAAAGGCCATTAATCATGATGCTAACCACTATCCCACCAATAGTAGAATTTTAGTTAACAACTTTATCAAAGGGACCCACAACATGTTTTGCTCAAATACCAATAACAACCTTCAAAAGGAAAAAAAAGATTTTTTTGGTTGGATGGAATCGAATGGAATATACACAATTTCATGACTGGTGCATAGAGAAATAGAGATTATTGTGAACTTTTCCATCATGTACCCCTTCAAGATAAATAACACCAATGGGTTATGAAGAACAAGTTGAATATAATTTAGGGTAGGTTAACCTTACGGAAGAGAGTCATGAGCCACATATTACATCTTATGCTTATTTATAAATTCTTGGCTCATAACCCAATGGGCATCTGGGATAACTTCATCAACCCACCTGCATACAATAAAAAAAAGGATCTTTCAAAGTTCAAACCAAGTTCATCACTATAAGTGGCTCAAATCATTCAATATTTTCATATGCAAATTCTTCTGTTCTACAATAAGTGGCTCAAATCATTCAATATTTTCATATGCAAATTCTTCTGTTCTACA